GGTTAAACGGTAAAATTAGGAAAAGAAAAAGGTAACGCCCCCCCCCCCCCCCCCCACGCACCTTAAGGCGGTCCGTCTTGACGCTCCCGATGGGCACCGCTTGGACCTTGATGCTATCGTCGCTTGCCTTGGCGGTCTTCTTTGCCTCCAGCGACGCCTGGTTGTGTGGGCAACAAGGCAAGCAGACGTGCATGTCAGCCGCTTCAACTCCGCCAGGAGGAATACAAGCATCTCAAACAAGCACCCTGGTAGGCAAGCAGACGTGCATCTTCGCCGCTTCAGTTCAGTCAGCAGAATGCAAGCAGCATTCACCGCAGAGTATCCTTGGGGATGTCGCACCCACAACGCATCAGCACAAGCGCCAAAAGCAAAAAAACACCGTACGTGTCAGCCCCACCAAGCTTTGGTTCAACAACACAAAAAAAGAAGAAGGCTAAGAGCACCGTTAACGTCACCAAGATAAACAAAACAAAACGAAGACACCTAGCGACATCGACGCAGAACAGGCAATTACGCAGGCACATGCCAAGGCTTGGTTTCACCCAAACACACACACACCAAAGTGCCTGGTAAGCACATCGCAAAACATCAACAAGCAAAAACACAAAAAAAGAATCACCTTCCGCCTCTCTGATGCTGAGTTCGCAGGCGGGTACATCCGCTGTTTTTCCCCGTCCCCCCCGTATCGCCCCCCACTATTGCCGCCGGGGGGACCCACCCCCTGTCTTCCCATATCCCCTCCGCGCCCCCCCCTTCTGCCCCCGCGGCCGCCCCCGCGTCTCCCAAAGCTGGACCTCTTCGCCTGTGGGGGTCGGGAAACATTTGTCATTAAATGTGTGTGGTTAGGGGCCAGGATGGAGAGCGGACAGGGGGAGAGGGCACCGCAATAGTTCAAAGGGGGCAGGGGGGTTCTTAGGATTTTTTCTCGCTAGTGCACGTTGACTCTTTGCGCTTTGAGAACTGTAGCAATGGCAACAGCTACACAGCAACATAAGCACAAGCAAAATGAAAACAATAGCACCAAGCGGGAACTCTCGGGCGCGGCCGAATTCCGTCCTTGTGGCTGCCTCATATTCGACGCAAACGGCAACAACATTCCGCGCCGACCAGCACCTGACCGCAAACGCCTCCTTACCATCTCCCGTTTGGGAGCACCTCAAAAACAAAACTACGCGTCAGTGCGTGCGTGCGCGTGTTCATCCCGTTTATTCTGGTGCCAGTCTACTACACACCTTGTACTATTTTTTCACATAGATATCAGCCGCGGGGTAACACAGGATGGATGGTACCCACCCCAGGCGCGCGTTCGATTTCTTGAATCTTGAACTCTTATTCCTTCGTCCTACCCTTACCTCCGGCACCACCAACAACTGTCTACGCACTGTGCATACACGCACACAAGCAGTCGGCGGCGCCATGTTGTTCCAATTGTCCCACGTTTCCTCCTGCGGCACGAACAACGGTCCCATGTACATATCCATACATATATATATACACACGGACTGCCTATGCAAAGAAAGAAAATTTACCAGGAAAAAATACCAGGCAGGATATCTATACACACACGGACTGCCTATGCAAAGAAAGAAAATTTACCAGGAAAAAATACCAGGCAGGATACATATATATATACACACGGACTGCCTATGCAAAGAAAGAAAATTCACCAGGAAAAAATCCCAGGCAGGATACATATATGTATACACACGGACTGCCTATGCAAAGAAAGAAAATTTACCAGGAAAAAATCCCAGGCAGGAAGCACGCAGACTCTGTCCCCAACTTAGTCGATACAAATAACTTCGTCCAGCATGTTTGCTTACTTCGAAAAACCAAACAGCGGGGCCCCACCGAGCCTCACCTGGTCCTTGACCTCCGCCTGCTTTCTCCTCTTGAACACCTCGTCCTCGATCTCGCCCACTTCGCTCATGATCACGTCCACCTGCTTGAGGTTCACGCGGCCTCCGCTCGCCGTCAGGTAGTCCCCCAACGACGATATTACCTGACGGCAACGAGAGAGCGAGTAAATTACCAGGAGATGAGAGGGGGGCGGAAGTGGGCACTCACTTCATTGTTGCTTGGGGGGGGACAGCAAGAGAGGTCACACACGAGGTGGCCGGGCACAGGGCGGTTGGGGACAACGAGACTGAGGACGACGGACACAACCGAGCGGGGTGGGCGGGGGTGAGGGGGTCGGTCACATGGACGAGAGTCGGCCCAGTCCCGCCTTCAAAGCCAATCGCGCGCGCGAGAGAGAGAGCTTCAGCTGTCCCTTCTCCCCACCCCAAGGCGCCCCCACGTCAACAATAATCTCGAACGGGTAGGCTATGTTTACTTTCTATAAAACACAAATCGAAAAAAAAAAAATCCCCCGCCTCCCGCCGACTCACTCTCTTGTAGACGTTGAAGAGGTAGTCCAGGGCGCCGTCGCGGATGCCTAGCGACGGCAGGTGTGGCAGGAAGTCGTTCCCGACAAAGAAACAAAGGAAGACGAAGTCGTCCACCACTCTCTCGAAGTCGTACCCGAACGGCACGCGCCCGGGCGCCTCGAGCTCCTTGAACTCGTTCTCCAGGTACTCGCGGAGGGTCCACAGCTGCCGTGCCGTGTCGTGGTAGAAAGAAAAAGGATGTATTTTGCGAGGGATTCGTCATTTGTGAGGATGGTTTTGTGGCAAGAAGGCAAGTGTTGTCCACAGCTGCCGCGCCGTTTTGATTGGTCGAGAGAAGAAGGCGGCAAGCCTTGTGCGGGATTCGCCCGTCGTGTTGTGAGCATTTATGTGGCGAAAGGAAGAACATGTTGCGCGGGATTCGTCGAGTGTAACGCCTTCAGACGGGCGACAAAACACGAGCTCTACGCTAAACCAGCCAACAACCAACGCTGGGACGTTCTGCCGCCGACAGATCAGTCCTTGCCAACACACGCAAAAACCTCCCCAACAGCCCAAAAGAGTCAAGAAAACCAGCGTATCAGAATAAGCGGCAAAATACTAGCGACAGCTAGAGGACTAGGCAGCAATCAGAATTATGGTAGCAACGGCTAGAGGGCTGGGCCGCACACCAGAATAAGCTGTACAATTCTGGTGGTAACGCTAGAGGGCTAGGCAGCTCATCAGAACAAGCTGTATTCTAGTAGCAACGGTAAGAGGAGTGTAGGCAGCACATCAGATCTACTTGCGAACCTGGAGCATCTGTAGCGGCTTGTGCGGAGAGACGTCCCCGTCGTGTTCGCCGTGCTCCCCCCGCTTCGCCTTTTGACCCACCCCGGCCAATGCATCCCTCGCCGCGTTCATGGCGGCGGCTTTCCTCTCGCTCGCCTCCTTTTGCTGCCGCCCGAATAGCACCTGTTTCGCGGGGGGGGGGGGGGGGGGGGGGGGGG